TGTGGTGAAACTTGTTTGTTGCAGGGCAGGGCGACGTAAAATGAGGCTCCCCACGCCAAATCGCCTTATATAGAATGGGACACAGCGATCTTAGGGGCACAGAAAAGGAAGGTTGGCTACTGCGTGCCAAAATGCGACGGACCCTGCGTTGTTGGACAACTTGCGGCCCGCACTAGTCAACCTTGTTTGTACGAGGGCAGCCCAGCATTTAATCGACGGTCTCCCACGTCTGCTCCGTACAAGTGAGAGAATAAGTCCAAAAATTTACTCGTTCTGATGGTGAGAACTGTTTGTTGCAGGGCAGGGTGACGCGGACCTCGGCTCCTCACGCCAAATCGTTTTATATAGAACGGGACACAGCAATCTCAAGGACAAAGAAAAGGAAGGTTGGCTACTGCGTGCCAAATTGTGTCGGACACCGACGTGTTCGACAAGTTTCGGCCCGCAGTATCCAACCTTGTTTATACGAGGGCCCCCCCAGCATTTTATCGAAATGTGCACCGCCGTCGGACACCGAAGGTCAACCTTGTTTGTACGTGGTCCGAAATGTGGTCGTCAGCAGCCTGCAACATCTCTCTCTCTCTCTCTCTCTCTCTCTCTCTCTCTCTCTCTCATCATCAGTCTCTTATCCCTCAATTCCATCAGTCAGTGCAATCATCACGAGCCAGGTCGGCGCGCGCACACCCAACGCTCGCCCATGTGATCTTCGTACTCCAAAACGTGCTCACCACAAAACGAGGAAAACACAATCACAACCCACCCCCGGACAACGCAAATGACCTGTGTAGAAACTGCTAGTGCATACGGTCCAATACCCTGCTTCAACAAATTCCAACAATGTTTCAACACGGTTCAACACATTTCAACAAAGTTTCAACAACATTCCAACAACTTTCAACAACATTTCAACAAGCCACCAACAATGGATCAACAGTTGGACCAACTGTTTTTCAACAATTGGTCCAACAGTTGAACACACAAGTTTCAGTGTCCCCAATATATAGCCAGTGTTGGTTTCCTTCATTTTGTGTTGAACATACACCCCCCCCCCCGGCCAGCAGTTTATAAACAGTTGAAATGTGGTGTAAACATAGGTCCAACGTGGCAAAAAATTTGGCACATTTTTTCTGTTGGTCCTGTGTGAGAATTGTTGATGCCAGGACATGGCTACAAGGGGCGGGGGGACAGTGTTCAAGTGGAGGAGGGCCCAGAGGCCACGGTGGAGTAGGAGGAAGTGGATGTGGGAGGGCTGGATCCGGTGGGGCGGGAAGGCTGGTGGGTGGAGCGGCCGGCCTTGGGGCAATTGGTTTGTTGATGCCCCAGCTGGCGGCAACGGAAACAACCGCCGTTGGCCTAGAGGAAGGCGCGTTCGGCCGGGGTGAGCTTTTTGAGACGAGGGGGTTGGGGGGAGGAGGAAGGCTGGGAGGCCAAGCGTTGCCGTTCCATCCTCATGAAATGGATAGCCTGGAAGTCTTCCTCGGTGAATTGGGCTGGGTCAAGGGACTCGGAAGAGGAGTCAAAGTTGTCGTCGGAGGAGACTGACGAGTCGTCGGAGGCCATATTGTGGAAAAACCGGGTGCAGTTGGGGGCGGTTGGTCGTTGAGAGCGGAGGTGAGGAAGGCGATCATGGTGGAGAAGGCGGGTAAGGAGATCGGTGAGAGGGAGCTCGGGCTCGTAGGTGAGGGTTGCGGTGAGGTGGGGGAAGCATACCCGCTTGATGCGGGAGATGAAAACGTAGTCGGGAATGAGAGTCGACGGGATGTGGAGGCGGAGGTAACGAACGTAATGGATGAATCGCTCGGTGGGGCCGGTTTGGCGGAGGTTGCAAAATTGATCGATGTAGTCGTCGATTGTCTTTTGCGGACGGAAGGTGGCGATGAGAAGGTCGACCCATGGAAGGAAGGTGATGCGGGGAAGGTCGTTGGCTCGGCGGTTGTTGGCTTCGATTAACCACTGTTGAGCGGCTGCGCCTTGGAGGCGGGAGGTTGCGGTGGGGAGCCAATGAGCGAGGGGCATGTTGTGGAGGTCGAAAGCATTTTGGATTTGAGAGAGGAAAAGGAGGACGTCCTCGTGGGGGAGGCCGGAGAACGTTGCGATATCGGTGGCGCGGAAGGAGCGGGGAATGTCCCCGTTGCGGGGGACGATGCAAGCGAGGTTGTTGAAGTTGTGGTCGTCAGGAGAGGTGTCGTAGCAGGGGTGATCCTGACTGCGGTCACCAAGGAGATAGCAAGGAGGATGTTAGGGTATGGCGGGGTAAACGCCCGAAAGGACTTGGGAGTAAGAGGGGTGGACAGAGGGGATAGTGGAAGTAGTTAGGAGAGGTTGGGTGAGGGGGGAGGAAAGGCGAAGGGGAGTGGTTCGCGTAGTGGTGGAAGCGCTTGTAGTAGGTTGTGAGGAGGGGAGGGAAACGGGAAGGGAAGTGACGGGGGTGGAAGAAGGTGTGGTGGAGGACCGTGGGGGGGTGGTGTTGGATGATGAGGCCTGGCCGACTTGGCCGGCGGAGAGGCTTTGGCCAGATTGGCCGCAGGAGGGGGGCTGGCTATTTTGGCCGGAAGAATATGGTTGACCGGTTTGGCCGGCGGGGGTGGATTGGATGGATTGGCCGGAGGAGGAGGGGGGTGGTGACGTCGTGACGACGGTGATGGCGGGTGTGTGGTTTTCGAGGGAGGTGACGCGATCGGATATGGAGGTCACAGAGACCTCAATTCTGCGGAGCGAGGCAGAGAGTGCTTGAAACATGAAGAGGAGAGATGTGTTCTCCCCGGTGCATGGCTGGTCGACAAGCTCGCGGTGGATATCCTCGACGGAATCCATGCGGAGCGAGCCCATGTTGATGCTTGAGGTGCCTTCGGCCATGGGGAGGGACGAAGGTGGGGCAGAGGGAGAAGAAGGAGTGGATGGGACAATGGAGGTGACAGCTGCGGCAAAGGTGGCAGCAGCGGCGTTGGCGGCGGCGCGTTGGGAGGTCTTGGATTGGCAGGGTGGCATGAGGGAGCGGTTTCTAATAAATGATGGTTGATTTAAATCAGGGCTAGAGGAAGTTGTCATGAGAGGGGGG